GTAACGTCGTCGATTGCTATGGAAAATATAAGTTTGCTTTATCGACCATCCCACCACAAAATGTGACATCGGAAATGCCTGACCTTCCTTGAAATTCACATCTACCCTGTGGCCTCAGGGCACTTGTGGCAATGTGGCGCAGTGGTTAATGTGTCGAGCTCACACGCTGCACTGTCATGGTTTGATTCCCGGTTGGGGTGTTGATAAGACCTATGCGAGATCGAAACAACTGTTCACTCCTGCCTGGATGAGAACACCTTTTGGGAAAGCAAGGTTATGTGAAATTCACTGAAGTCGTCAGTTTTACTCATATCATTGTGGGAAAAATCGACTACCGGTGCTTCTTCACCTTAAGAGAAATAGGGTGAATACAACTCATATATCTCATTTATATGAATAAAGCTAATCTAGTCGACTGTTCGGATGAAAACACAGGAATGAGAATACATACAGATCCTCCTTTGGGTTCCGGTGAGGCATATAATTTACATGCTTTCGAACAATTCTTCTCTCAAAATAAAATAATTTAGGATTCCTTTTACGATTATTGTAAATGAGTGATCTGATCTGAAATAGGGCCATCTATCTTAGCAGAAGTGAGAGGTCTACGTTGGATGGTTCATTCAAAAGATGGTATCTATCATAATCATTCATGTATTGTAACCTTTTATTATAATTATTTACTCCCCAAGACTCGGATGCCTTCCCATCCGAATGACCGATTCTCGACTCTCAGAGCTTGCTACGACTCATGTGCATTCGGATCTGCTCCACGCTCACAGAGCCGTAAACGCTCCGTGCATCTCAATTGCCGGCCCCAGCCCTGACCAGCACACAAGCCTCGACTCAACCGGACTCAGAGCAACTGGAGATCGGTTGGAAGCAGCCAAACCGGGCGACCGTTTCCCTCCTTCCCGAGACCCGACGTTCGAGGCCTCCTCAAAGTCGGCTCAGTCGAGTCCGAGTATGCCGGCCGTCAGTCGCCTGGTGATGTGCCTCGCCGTCGGCCTTCCCGTAGACAATCTCATCCCTTCGGTCCAGCATCTCCGCCATATTACGCGAGCAGCCCAACAGACGGCAGGTCTGTTAGCCCAGCTGAGGTACCGTCTTGCCAGATTGGCCCAAACCGCGGCCACCATAACGGCCGACCGGTTGGAGACGGACATGCCCGAAAGACAGACGAGTCATGGAAAGGGGCGGCCCCGGGAGAGGAATAGGCGGCTGAAAGGACAAAAGTCGGCTGATTTCATATCGGTAGATTTGCCAAAAAATGTATCTATGTCTATCTATTAATCCCATCTCTCCTGATTCTAATCCTTTTTCTCATTCTCGCAATAACGAAAATAATGGATCATTAAACTTGATAAATTAAAATAGAGGTAATACGCTATTCTGTGCATTTAAACGTACAATTAGCTTTTTAAAGCCGAAAACAGACATACACACAAACATGCACGGAAATAGAGGCAGACGTAAAATACGATATCTGGTTCTTTGTAAGCTTAAAGTAATGACAAGAATGTGCTCGGTCTCAGATGATGGTTTCAGTGTAGCTGAAAGAAACTATCTCGAAAAAAGCTTTGGTAGCTACGAGATTGATGAAAGGATCAAATAAAAAATGAAGGTAAAGGAGGAAGGATGTTGAAGTCATTCGTTCGAATGAGACACTCAAGAGGAGATTGTTCAAAAGAAGTCATACGCCTGAGCAATACTTAATTGCAAATCTCATCACAGCTACGAACCAAAGATCGGAATAATTGGAAGCATGAACATAAGATGCCTATGCTTAATGGACATGAAATTCAGGGACTAAGAATTGGGCAAATTGATTCGGATATTCCTCGGCAACGGATACCCGAGATAAGATATACAAAGAAACGTACTGGCCATGAAAAGCTGATGGCAGGACGAGTATTATGAAAAAAAGTTAAAGATGGAGAAAGACTCATAGAAGTGGATATGCCTACCTTCCTGCGAACGAATTCAAAAACTACGTCCAATATTAAGAAAATGGAATATTTATGGAACAGCGATGAGATGGTAGACAAATAGGATATTGGGAATTTACTGCAAGGTATACGGAGTGTGCAAACAGAAAAATATTGATGAAACAAAGAGACAGTAGAGCATACGAATCGAGGAACATCAAAGGCTCTGCAGGAAAATGGAAACTGAAAGATCAAAATTAGCGGAGCAAATTTCACAGAATGAACTCAGGATGAATTGGGAAGCAAAAGAAGGGCCTCACACAGGGACAATACAAGGGAAAATAAAAAAATAGATGTCATCGGCATACTAGCAGAAAAAAATTAGATGGACAGGGGATTGTTGGAAAACAGAATTAACGATAAATTTGCATATTGTTTTAAGAAAATGTGGGCAAAAAGAGCGGTACTTGCATCAAGGAACTTTCGTTTACCGAAGGAAAAGGAATCTCAAGAAAGGAGAGGGTGAGAAATGTTTGAAAATAAAGCGAATATGTATCTATCCAAAATAACTAAAGGCGATAGAGAATTAATACCATAATATCATCAGGCCTCATTAAATCAAATAATTTCATTTGCCTCCTTAAAGGCATTTTTATGGAAAGAAAAGTTATGTTTCGAGGAGTGGCTTAGCTCATAAATATTCAGTTTACTTGTATTTAAAGTGAAAGTGTTTGGTGGAGAGATTCGAAAGTCGATCCCACGGGTTGAGAAGACTCTCGATCCATAAGCTTATTAATTAAGCACAAATAGTTTTGACATAACTTCTTGCCGGAATTCCTTACACTCAATCTATTGCCTATTCGGTTTATCTGAATGGTCTCTCCAATCTTACGGTCAGTCAGAGGCATAGCATAATCTGGAAAGCGACAAGTGTGAAACCACTCCAGTTCATGTCCAATTTCTGCAGTGTGCTCAACTAGCCTCGGTTATTGGACCCAACAACCTCTAGAGACGCTTTTGTGCTCTGACACCCTTT